TTGCGGCAACCGTTTGCGTGTACACACAGTAAGATGTGGCTTAAAAGTGAAATCGGTCTCTAATTCTTCGTTGTTGCCTTCCTTGAATTACGAGAACACCGCACTCTTGCTCTACGCCTCTTGAGTAGCAGAATTATGGGTGACGGAATCGAAGAGTTGCTAAAAAGAAAACTGCTTACTACCTTTGAGCTATCTCACCTGGTCCGTTTTTTACTTTTAAATGTCTCAATCAAAAATCTCAATATGTTCATTTAGAGGCTAAATTAGTAATTTAATAACACTGGTCGGCAAAAAAAAAAAAATAAAAATCCGGGAGCAAAAAGTTTACTACGTGATTTCTATTGGCTTTGTTTTGTTGAGTCCAAATCTGTTTAAAGATTTCAACTATCACCTCTAGCTTTTCAGATATTTACATTTAAATAAAATATCGGTATATATATATATATATATATATATATATATATATATATATATATATATATATATATATATATATATTTCAGAACGAAAAAATTTACACTGATTGATGACTTTTACAACACAAATTAAAATGAAATATGAATTAAAAAATATAAAAAAAAACATAAAAACGATAACTATTTGGTAGATCACTTTCTTTTATACATTTTAACTGCTGTTTCTCGATTTATTTCCCAGCAAAAATCAGCATTGCTGGGGTCCACTTGCCGCTGTATCTTTTTTTCCATATGTGCAATGTCTTGGTGGAATCTTTCATCATGCTCACCAGACACGGCACCAAGATTTTCTGCGAAAAAATCTAAATGCGAATGCAAGAAGTGAATTTTTAAAGACATATTGTCGCTCATTTGTTCAAAATAATCACTGCGTTCGCGCTTCGCGCATGTCAGTTAGTTAGAGCAGTAAACAATAGCTTGTTGTTTCTTTCTACCATAGAAACAGACTCAGAACACAACTAAATACATTTACATACCAACGTTCACAAATACCGCTGCCTGCAACTATAAGCAAACAATTCTAGTGCAAACAAAAAATGCTATTGCGTCGAAACTAGACGTGCTAGGTGAATTCTAACTACATATTTGGATTTAACGTAACTAACGTAATAACTTCCATATATACATTTTTTTGCTCTTATTTTGATGCCGACCAGTGTAATTTTAATATGTTGAAGTATCACGAAGTATAGGCAAAGAGTGGTCACTGCGTTTTAGAATATGGTACCAGTTATAAATCCATACAGACCATAGATTACTATCATTATGGTGCTATTCAGTGGTGACAGAGGATTTATGTTGTTCAAAATTGGCAACTTCAAACATTAAAAATGAGCTCCTGTAAATATGCCAAAAATAATACATTATTAATCTTTTTAACTTGTTTTATTATTTTAAAGTGTTTTTTATTTATTTATATGCAGTTGAAGAGGACATGACTTCGAGGGCCTTAAACATTGTTTCTTTGAGGAAAATTCGCCTTGCCGTGGTAGAAGATGCGGCCAAAATATTTGAGTTGGTTAATGAATCAATGTCTAAGAATTTTCGAGTCAGCAAACCTAGTGATATACTTTATTTAATGTAAGGCTGTTTGACAAATATATCGTGTAGACTGTAGAGGTATGCTAAGAGGCGCATTGGCTATTTTCAACTTAGGGACACACACAGAGTATTCTAAATTCGGCTCGGTAGTCCATGGGATCCATTTCTGAGAGTGTGCGTAGGGATTGCATGCCTTAATTCTTCTCTTCTCGTTCAATTATCGGACAACCAGGAGGTCGGCAGGCCTTTACCCCTCTTTTGTCGACATCCATGCATTCGAATCAAAGGGTTTATCTTATTTTTTATATTTTTTTTAGTTAATAACGTTACTGCCACACTAGGAATTTCTCCAGCATTGTGATCACATGGGCAGTTTACATATATAAATTTCGCAAGGACAAACATTCAGACTTGGAATAATTATTTATATTTGCCATGGAAATACTTGTTACGTTTTTTTATAGGATAGGATGACAAACGAACACACAGTCCACCTGATGGTAAGTGGTTGCTGTGGTCCATAGACATCTACATCTATCCTCGATTACGAATCAAAAGGCAGATGCGTTGTCATCCGTGAGGACTTAGGTGGTATGCCTCGTTTCCAGTAAAGAGGGTCTTCGGTTCTCTACACTCACCATACGAAACACAGCAGCATTGTGCTACTATTTGACGCTGGTATTCTGTGAGAGCGTGGTCCTTCACCGGTCGAGCCGACCCATTCGTGCTACAACTATACTACTAATATGACTGCAGCATGGCTCTACCACGTAAATTTTATTTTATTTCACGTAAGTTTACGTGCGGGATTCGAACTTGCGGCCCTCAGAGCTGCAACCATTTGTCAAGCCACTGTGCCACAGAGCTTTCGTGATGCGTCCAGCAGAGTGGAATAATTTGCTGGCGTCTGATTACAATACGGATGTTTTCAAACAAGAGCCTTTTGTTATGCTAAGACAGTGCGATTACCCGTCTAGGGCTCTAGGGCTTCATTACCAAGTGGTATTAGGGTCAAACACAGGCTTATAATGGGTAAAAAGGTATGTAGGTATATAAAGTATGTTAAAATAAATGTTTAATGATTTTGTTGCAGAAAAAATTGTGTGTTGTCCATATGTCAGCTTAATGAAAATGACCTTATAGTGGGATTTTTAGCACTTCAGGATTATCCCTTAATACCCTCAGTTTATGAAACAGCATGGGAACAATATATCTGGACTAAGTATAAGTAGGTTTATAATTTTAATCAATACTTATTTAAGAAAAATACTTAAGTAGAGTCGTAAAAGTAGAATAAATAAAGATAGGAAATTATTGTGCCTATGGATAAATCTGTAGATTAACAATTTGAAATAGCTGTAGAACTTTTATAGTATAATATTCACAACTCTTAACACTGGCACACTGTCACGCCGTCTTTTGGGGTACACGTTCTACCTCGGAGCACTCCACAAAGCAACTGACTGCCGGCGCTCAGTGCAACAACCGAAAGGCGTGCAACCCCCACTACTTGTGTGTATGAGACAGTGTATTGAATCTATTTAATAGACACAAACACTACATCCCTTCCTTATGAAGAAATTTTTTTACTCAAGTGAAATACATTTTTAATCCAAAATAATATTCAATTAATGAACTTAATTTGCATTGTTATGATCTTCCCTTTCATGACCTTCTGAAGATGATGTGGTCTCGCCATGGATAGAGTTCCAGATTCCTTCTATTTCCTTTAAATGTACAACATTTCTCCGTAATCTTTGTCCGGTCTCTTCATTTCTCACTGTGATATCTCCTTCTATTATTTCTGAATCTTTTGCTCTTCTTTTCCGGTCTCCATATTCTTTACCTTTTTCTTTTTGTAGTTTATCTCGGTCCCTTATAGTTTTCTTCAATATTGATATTTTTTAACATAGGTATTTTGTCTCTATTTTGACGATTAAAGAAAAGTTCTGATGGTGATTTCCCTGTTACTGAATGTGGAGTTGAGTCTTCATCAGATATTCATACAATGTTTCTTTCAAATCCTTTTTTTTTCAAGTTGACTGATTCCAAGTCGTTTTAATATGTCATGATTTTGGCGCTCTACTTCGCCATTCATCTGGGACCAATATGGTACAGAATTTAATAATTTGATATCACACTTAGAACAAAAGCTTTTAAATTATTCACTTATAAATTGATGTCCATTATCCGTACTAATTGAAACTGGGTAACCGAGGCGACTAAATATCTCTTTTAAACTCTTTACGTTTTGTACACTATCAATAGATTTGCATGGATTTGCATTACATATCAATAGATAAAGGTCGGTAGTCGGGACAGCGAGTAGTACCTACTGTGCTCTTAAAGTAATCGAGTTTAATTGGATTTATTTAAGTATTAAAGTTACGAAAGTGATATATGTGCTTAATATAACAAATATTTGAGATACTGAATATTAGTGTGATGTAATTTAAAAGTAATCAAAGGTAAAAGTGTAAATAAGGAAACAATCAGTGTAAAAGTACCCTATGAAGGCATATGAGGGCATATGCGTTTCGCGTCGAAAACTACATGTTTTAGGGTTTTTCCAAGGGCAATATCGTAACGATGTAAGGAGATTATTTGCCGAAAATTAGGGCTTTAGAAAGATGAAGTCTTTATTTAGTACATAGCAATGCAAAATCATAGTTTTTAATGACGGTTTTTTAGAGCGAAGACAATCCCTTCAAAGCGTTTTACGAAAATATGCGTCAGAGTTATCTTTCAGGTTGAATACAACCATTATTATAAGCTAAAATACTTTATTTTAAGCGTTAGTATAATGGAATATATAGTCTTTTAGTGTATAGCAAAACCTAAATTACGAATATATTTCGATTTAATTTTATAAAACAATATTATAAAATCACCAAAACTGTCTACTTCAATGTAATTTTTTTTCCGTGTATTTAGTTATGAACATATCTATTTTAATTATTTTATCAAAATTCATGTAATGTTAAACATCCAAAAAAAGTTTTAGCTGGTTTTATTTTGTCAATTTTTTTATATAAATGTTTTAAAAATACTATACGATGGCTTAATCTACAAATCGGCCAACTCGGTTTTATGCAATTTTACAGGGAGGCAAAAAAAACTCAATAAAAAATAAAATATCTGGGCTGAGTGAAATAAATTCTAAAGTCTAAAAGCTATTATTCTATGTTATTGACGGTTGCATATTCTTAATCAGAAATCATCATCTAATATCCAGATTCCAAAATACCATTTGGTGCTTTTTTTATTTTGCATACGGAATTAACTGAAAGGTATAAAAAATATATTGATCACATACCTATTTAATAGATTTTTGGAGTTGGCCCATTTTAAAATTAAAAACTATAAAAAAAATGGGAGTTGTCCACTTTTCTGTGAATCCTATATTTAGATGTATTGAGTACTAGGCGAAACAAAAACTATATTTTTGTCATAAAATTATATGTTTTATTACTTAATATGTCTTCATTCATGTGGGATGTTATCGTAAAAGTCCCTATAGTCCACCGGTATTGTAGATTTTAATTCCTGGAGGTCTTTGAGTTTACGATTTTTAATTTTATGCCGATTTTCATGAAGATCCGGTAAGCTTTCAATCGCTGTTGGTGTGATATTTCTATCACATCGTTGTGGTAGTAACTGCCACTCATCTGTGAATCTCAGCTTAAAGTATATATTCCCTTTTTTATATTGCAGCGCACGAATGTCTGTGACCTGAACACAAACAATATAATGATAATGAATTACACAGTAAAATGTGGTTTTTACACTTCTACTAAAATCTGTAGAAAAATACCAATAAAATTGTATAAAATAATAAGACCAAATATAAATAAAATTAAAGGCACCTTAGCGTCTCCTGTCGCTTTTCCTGGTCTAATAGATTTATAATATTGTAGGCTTCCAAAGGATTTAAAAAAATCATGCGATAAGTAACATACGTTGTAGGGCTTAGGATGTATGCGTGCTCCTAGACAAACTCCTACATATTCAGCTGGCACATGAATAATTTTATTTTTCAGCTTCCTCTCTATGGTGGCATGCATAGAGTCAGCCTCCATTTGGGTGTGGCCAACCTCCAAATACTTTTGCTCAATTACAATATTGTTTAACGTTGCCACATTCAGTAAAGCATTTGCCAATACCACGTTCCTATTTTGTGCTGTACATCCGTCGCTGTATAATATAATTTTAATATCCTTTTCAGGTTCTCTGTGAATGCTCGGCAGAAGTTTGTCTTTAATAAACTTGACTATTATCGTTGCAAAGTTGTCAGACGATAGCCCACCTTCAGTTTCATTCCAAAGATAGCTAAATCCATCTTTGTTTCTCAAATTGAATAAACAGAAATTGTGTGTGCATAGCTTGGTTTTATAATACAGAGGTGAAACATTAGATTTAGGTGCTAGTAACACAGCTTGTGTGTCCATCGTAAATACGAGTTCTTCTGAATTTTTATCGTTTTCTTTTTCAATTCGGGCTTCATTTTTTCTGTCTATATGTTCCTTAAGTTCTGCATCAGATATATTTCCGAGTTTATGGGATAGGCATTTTTCGCACTCATCTTTTTTCGGCTTAAACAGTGATATATTTTCAATTTCTAAAGTGTTGCTGAATTTTGCTATTGACAGAGGTTTAATATTCCGCGACGCGCACCAGTCTTTTTCGTAGAATTTGTACAGGGCTCTTTTTGATGTCCATTCTGGTAACAAATAAAGCTTTGATGTAGTTTTGCGGCAATAGTGGGATTCCATTTTTGGTATATTGTTCAAAAACTCTTTAAGTGATTCTACCTCTTCTTCGTGGGGATTTTTTCTGGCAGATACATTTTGGTTTTCATTGTGAGAGGTATTTTCTTTACCTTTTTTCCAGTTCCAGATGGTCATTTTCGTGATACACAAAGTGTTTTGAAACATCGTTTTGCAGACTCTAACACGCTGTTCATCTTTCAAAAGCAAGTTATAAATCATTGAGCTTTTTCTCTTTGAAATAGATGGGTCTTTTCTATCTCTTGGCCGTTTTGTAGGTATCTCTTGTACAAGACTATTCACGAAAATCTTTTTTTCTCCCCAAGTCATCCCCCAAAACCTTTCATATATTACTTTTCTATCATCTTCTGTAATTTCACAGCATTTTAAAGCAGTTTTGTCATTTGTCTTACATTTGCATCGAGGTTTAAGCACTCGTTTATTCTTTAGCGTTTTTTCCCATTTCCCGTCAACCTTTTTACGCCCAGTATACTGCTTCCCCTTTTTCCGATTAAGCTTGTTTTTGTATTCATTCCATGTTGCCTTGTTAACCTGACACCTTTTTCTCCTCTTACCTCCTCTTTGTTCTTCTTCACTGTTTGAATCTGAGTGCTCAGAATAGGGTACAAGTTGTTTGATATTGTAGTCACTTTCATCGCTTAGATAGTTGTCAATGCAGGTAGCATTGTTATCATAACGTGGTGTAGCCTGTGAAGTTGTAGCTGGTCCGGATGATTCCATGCATTCCTCAGTAACCGATGTTAACGGACGGGAACACAGAGACGAACCATAGGCTATTGGTTCCATTTCCATGATCACTTCTGTAAAAGCATCAGATGTTAATGCTCCATCAGCTAGTGGCTGCATTTCCATGACCAATTCTGTAATAGCATTAGATTTTGCCGCAACATCAACTGGTGTGTCAATTATTGACGAACCGGAAGCCAGTATAACAGGCATATTTTCAATCGATTCCTTTGTGAGAAATATTATGTCATTTTGATTGCTTCGGTTGCAAGCAGCTTCAATCATTTTTTTCGCTTCGACATATTCTTTGTCTATAAGTAACAATAATCCCATTAAAATTCAGTTCAATCATTTTTTACAATAATTTACATAAAAACACAAAACTGGTAACTCCCAAATCAATAACAAATTGTCACAATGAAAAATGGCCAACTCCATCATCGCGCTTTTGCAGGTTATATCATGGTATTTATTTTGAGTATTCACAACAATTATACATTATTTAGATAAAGTCACTTACCGCCAACGTCATGTATTATTTTCAGGTTAAACTATCTGTTATTTACGCACAGTCACAAAAAAATAAACTCACACCTCGAACACAGTTCTTTATGGTACGCCTTCTAGTACGAAATGGCGGCTGGCACCGGAGTTAGCCACTTAAATGTGTTTGCTATTTATGTGTTGGGAGTTGTCCGATTTACGTGCATGCGATTTTCTCGGTAATTTAGAAAACTAGGAGTTGTTTAATTTTGCACACTGTAGGTGACAACCCCGCGTATTCGATGATATCAAAACATGATTTTGGTTCAAAGTGGAGTTAGCCGGTTTGCAGGTTAAGCCATTAAATCATCACGCGCAGACGCCGTCCGATTCAGTACGCTCCGGGTAATCCCAACGACAGGACGTATCACTTTTTCTCACCGACACCGCGCGATCGCGTTGATACACCGATAGGGATATACTACACTATACTATAACTAGCTACCTATAGCACCATCAAGCATTTTAAACGATTGAGACTTTTTTTAAGCGATATTTTTGGTAGTAAGTAATTTTGAAATATGTTTATGGTAATGGTAATATTTAAATAATAAATGATTTAATGGTAGCAAATTTACATTTCATACATATTTTTTTAGAAAGTGGTAATAAACATAAGCAATTCGGCTCTAGTAAAAATACAAAATCGTTGGCTATCACCTTTGGCTCCGTGGCGGAGTGACTTGGTAATGAGTTGTAGCGCTGAGCGCCGCGGGTTCGAATCCTAGACGGAACAAAAATTTCTGTAACCTACAAATAATTGTTCCGGGTCTGTATGTTTGTCCTTGTGAAATTAATGTATTTAAACTGCCTCCACGATGTACTTAGGAAAAATTCCTAGTGTGGAGATAACATTATGATTAAACAAAGACATAAAAAAGATATGAGCCGTGCTTGAGTTGAGTAGTTCAAGGGCGAAGTGTTCGCCATAAACGCGAGCAATACGGGTTCGATCCCCGCCGACACTAATGAAATTGTTAGTTTGATGAATTATGTTTACATTATGAAACAGAATAAAAGTTTATCAAATGATACATATTTTATATAGTACATATTATTAATTAGAACATATTTTATAATATACTCAATAGGGTGAAAATGTAAAGCCGACTTCAATGTACTAAAAGAATAAAACAATTTCACCATGTTAGCCTCCAATTTCCATATACTATTTAAGCGATTATGTGGAAATTATTTTTTTGTTCTTTTAGTTCTAATAATATAAAAATGATTCGTGGAACTAAAGCCGACTTTTCACTATGGGATATAATATAATTTATATTACATCTCGATATATAAATTAATATCGCTCACCGTACTTTTAAATGGAACCGTTTCCACTGAGATGTAATATATATTACATCCCAAACTATAAATACTTTTTCGATCGACCGAGCGATATTTTCATATTATATTTCACCTCCTGTACCCCGCACACCCTTCCGCGCCTCTGCTACGTCCTCAGATCATCCAATGACGAACGCACACTGGTTAAAAGATAATATATCTCACAGTGTGAAGGGCAATCGTGGGATATAATTTATATTTCGGGATATAATATGTATTATATCCCATAGTGGAAAGCCAGCTTAAAAGCAACTAGCGTCGAACTCACCCTGACACGCACACAGAGATAACATTGTAGTGTGCGTCAATATTACGCCGTTCCAAAGCGATCGCGTAGATTTCGACTTGGACATATTTGAATATGCGCTCATTGTTGTTGTGTAGCAAAGATATTGATTTGTCCGAACTTACAAACTTATTCCATATATTATTACAATTTGAAAAACATTTAATTACCAGTGTATCTAACGAAGTGGAATATTATTAATCTATTTATAAGAAACTAAGTTTTAACTTTTAGTATATTGATATTAATTGATATAATCCCTTCTGTGCCATCTGGTGGCCACTAGTTGCATAGATAAATATTCTTTGTATATACCAATAATATGGCAAAGTGTGGAGCATGCGGCCGCTACCTTTCGGTGACAGATGGCGTTACCTGTGACAAATGTGATGCCACATATCATCGAGGCTGCCTTAACTTATCTGAAAAGGTAAAGATATCAACTTCCTGGATGTGCCCAACTTGTAAGAGTAAAGTTCCTCGTGCTGGGGATAATTCTAATACACCGGTAAAGTGTCAAGATGTTGGAGATAATAGTCCCGTCTACAAAGACATTGACCTAGGCCTAGAAATACGCCTGTTACGTAATGAGCTCATCATATATCAGGGACAATTTCGCCATGTTAAGGGATACAATGCTCGTGTGTAATAAAAATTTGGAAGAAATTGACACCAGGGTCACCAAGTTGGAGAACCGAATGGAAGAACTAAGCGAGAGGGATCAGGATCTGTTAGCCAATGACTTGGAAATCTCAGGTCTACCGGAACAAAAGGGGGAAGTAGCCATTAACACTGTGATACTATGTGCTAGAAAGTTAGGCCTTGATATTGACCACCGTGAAATTGTTCATGCCGAGCGTGTCGGAATATTACGCAAATCTATTGACGACATTAATAGCTCTCAAGAAGAAGTTCGTTTGGGACCACGTAGAATTATGGTGCGAATGAGCCGCCGAGCGCTGCGAGAGGAATTTCTACGTTCAGCGCGTGTTCGGCGGACAGTAACCACTGAGTAACTGGGGTTACCCGGTGAGCCGCGTCGGTTTTACGTGAATGAGTGGTTAACACCTTTGAATAGGAAGTTGTTTGGTAAGACTCGCGAGGCAGCGAAAAAAGCAAAATGGCGTTATACTTGGACGAAGGGTGGACATATTTTTGTGAGAAAAGAAGATGGAAAGCCTGTAACGCGAATTCGGTCCAAAGCAGAACTTAAGCGTGTTTTTTGTTAATCATGCGTTAGCTATTAATTTACTTTTTTAATATTACTTTTTTATTATCCTACCTCTTATGTTAGAGATAGCTTAATTAGGTTTGCTAAAACAATATTTATATTCTTTTATAAGTTAGTCTCCATAATAACAATTACATACAGTAAGTGTATAAATATTACCATACATCAACTTAATATAATATATTGCTTTTCAAAGGGTTTATTGTTAAGTTTTAATTCAGCCTATTTTGGTTTATGTAAATCAGTATACATGTTCATCACGCATGAAATCTTTAAGTGTAATGTTCATTGTCTCGTTAGTATTTGTGTGTCTGACAAAAGTGTTCATACCGTGAGTAATCGCAATTTTGCTTTACTATATTTTTCCGGGTCATTAGTGGTAAACAGTTCCTTACGTTTTTTACTCCACTTACATAAACACAATTTTAATTTTGTATTTATTTATAAACACACATATTTTTATTTTTATATTTTAACGTAAATAATTTTAACATTCGGAGAGAAATAACCTTAATATTCAATAATAATAAATGTAATCTATCAAAATTTATACATAATGTCTTGTCAATATATAATTTATATGTAACGTGTTGTCAGTTTAGTGTACAAAGTAAACATACATCATGTCTTAATAATATTCATTTATTATACGTAAATCCTGAGATGTACTATTTATTTATAAGATTAAATTTACAATATATAATATTTGTTACAATTAGAAAAACCGTATTTGGTATTTTATACTCATTATTACCTCATTACTATCTGTTAACAATGGATAAATCTTTTTATTCGGCCAACGTTAGTGGTAATTCAGTTAGCAATGATTAAGTTTAAAGAATTAAAAGTTGGTTTCTTTAATGCGGGTTCATTGGGTACGAAACACGAGGAATTCCTCGTAGCCATGAGTCGACATGATGTTGATCTCATGGCGATAAATGAGACCTGGCTGAGGGAAGGCGAAGATGGGCGCGCTCCGCTCATACCTGGTTACCGCCTGCGTCACGTGCCGAGACCACACTCTGTGTGCGGTGGCCGTGGAGGGGGGTGTAGGCTTCTACTTCAAAAAGGGAATCAACGCACGAACAATATCTACTCCTCACCACAACTGTGTAGAAGAGATGTGGCTAGCCCTGCATATAAACTCAAAAAAAATTGTGATAGGCACGACTTACCGCCCACCATGGCTTAGCCTTTCGAGGTTGTTATAAGTACGCAGCCTCCCATTGTTGGAATAATTTACCTCCTCCACTGCGTGACCTAAACACATTAGGCACGTTTAGAAAACACTTAAAATATCTCCTAATAAACGAACAGCAGGGCATAGTTAATAAATAGGAGTATTGTTAAAGAGGTTAGACGTTAGCTACTGATATTCCGTTTACATATTATTTATTATGCTATTACATATTATTTTTTATTACAAAAAGCCTATTAAACGTATGTATCTATGTATATGTATGTATGTATGTGTACGTATATATATGTATATATATATGTGTATATGTATATATATATATATATATATATATATATATATATATAATTTTATAATATACACGGTTAAATTAAATTATTACACTTACTAATGTTCCCGTCACGTCTCACGTAGCGTTCAGCAACTTACGTTCAGCACAACTATACAATACGTATTTCCCATTTGGTTATTAACATTCATCATTTGTTATTATCATATGTATCTACTACTCGCTTAATGTCAATACTTTCGGCACGGTCTCCGTAGGACCGTATGGGGCCGACTGAAAAACAGCGTCGCTATCCCGCGGCTTATGCTGAGGCGGTCCCTTCCGCCACTTCATCTGTTTCGATTATTAATTTTATCCTCTACTTTTTTTTTAAATTTTTTTGTGTTTTTATTTCTTTTATTTTATTCTTATTCGTCTTAATTTTGTTTATTAATTTGTGATTGTAATCTGAAGTGTCGGAATAAATGTCTTTATGTCTTTATGTTTATGTCTTTATTGATGATTTTGATTTCCTTGTAACGACTGAAATAGTCAATTACTACCAGAAGGTAATCGTTGCTTGATAGTGACCCTAACAAATCCTTTGCGATGTTGACCCACGGTTCTGATGGAAGTTCCTTAGGTACAGGTGGATTTGGCAGTTCCACAAGAGTGCACCCTTTGCAGCTCTTGACTGACATCTCGACATCTTTATCAATCTTTGGCCACCAGACTTTAGCTCATAAGTGTTATTTTATAGACACAATTCCAGGGTGACCTTCATGGGCTGCCACTAATACTGTTTTCTTAATTTGTTTGGAATTACAATTCTATTTCCTCTCAAGAGAATATTGTCATAAAAACATTCATTTCCAAAAATATTAAAGTTTTTGACTGACTCATGCCACTGATTGTTATGGAGTCCATTTTTTACAATCCTTATTTCTAAGTCACTTTCAGATTGTGCAATTATATATCGCATAGAAATAGCATATGGTTTTGCTAATTGTACTATTTGGTATACATAGTGATATGTATACCAAACTGTATAGGTTGTACATAATTATGTTCCGTTACATAACTGTGATAGTGGATATACAATGTTTGTATTTCCTGGCTTATATTTTATCTTATCCATTTTTTCGACGCGAGCACACGGTTTTAACTTAGGAGTAAATAGGAATTCCAATGGTTTATGATCAGTGATTAAATTAAATTCTTTTCCGAAAAGAAATGTGTTAAAATGTTCGATAGTCCAAACAAGAGCAAGAGCTTCCTTCTCTGTTTGGCTGTATTTTCGTTCACAATTTCTTAACGTCCGATTTCCATAGCCAATGATTCTGGGACCCCTTTTATTAGTTTGTGGCAAAACAGCTCCTATTCCTACAGGTCTCGCATCCACTATAACTTGGGTCTCGTCTTTGACGTCATAATATCCTAAGGTTTCTATTTTTGTTAATTTTTATTTGAGACACCTTAATGCATGGTCCTGTTGTTCTGTCCAGTATTTGTCTATGTTAGCCTTTTTTTCTAATTCCATCCTAAGTAATTCTTTTAATGGTTCATTAATTGTAGCTAGTTTAGGAATCCATTTATTTATGTAATTTACTAATCCAAGAAAACTTTGTAACTCCTCAATTGTTTTTATACTCTAAATTCTGTTATACTTTTGATATATTTAGGTAGAGGTGTTAACCCATCTGGTGTTAATTCATGTTAGTAAGAAACTTATTTTTTTGCACTCTATACAAACATTTATCTTAACTAAGCAGGACATTATTTTAATTTAACACATCCAATACCTGTGAAAGTCATAAATCATGTTTTTCTTCACTGCTGCCCCAAATTAAAATGTGGACTATAAAGTTAATTACGCCTTCACGTTTAATTAACATTCTTTCTAAGATTTTTAGAACAGCTCTGTTACACATGTGATTCCAAACATAAGTCTTTTATATCCGTAAAGTTCACTAGAAGATACAAAGGTAGTTAAATATCTAGAGTTGAGATGAAGCCCAACTTGATGGAAAACATTTTTAACATTATTTATATGGAGTTATTAATTTATCGGAATCTGCACTTAAATAACTTTAAACTTTGGAAACGGCTTGGTTAGTTCTTGATCAACATGGTCGATGCCAAAGCCCACTTTTAAAACTCCTAATCGCATTGCTGAATCCTTTCCTAATAAATTCCTGGATCCGTTTTCATGACCAATTGTGCAGGAATCAGTGTTTCCCATTTGTTTTAATTTCAATTTTAAATGAACCTTTTACCTGTAAGGGTATACTACCGCCACATGCCAATAATATTTTATTTGGTATCTTAGTTTGATTTTTACAACTAACTTTATTTATTTTCAAATATTCCCATGAATTATCAGTTATTAAATTTGTTTTACAACCTGAATCAATTAACATTTGTAGCTCAATGCCACCTGTATTTACTTTATGGCTGCGTCTTTAAATGAGGTACTGGAAATCATCGTCCTCTAAGTATTGACTGTAGAATCCTTACGGATTTTTTTATTTCTATGCCTTCATCTTGGTCATGTTCTATTCTCCTTTCAAATCTGTTTATCTTTGTTTTACAGTATCTTTGATGGTGTCACACTTTTTCACACTCGTGACATTATTTTCTCTGGTCATTTTGGTTCACGGATATTGTGCGATTGCATTTCCGCATCTCCAACACTTAAAATTTCCTGATATTATTTCAGTTTTTCACCATTCCGAAGTACCCCTGCTCTTACTTGTGACTAAATATATCTCGCTGGCCTTTTTCTTTCCGTTCATAGCTTTCCAGTTTAAGGTTTACTACCCCTAATGTCTTTGCTTCTATGACCACCTTGTCTAATGTCACTGCATCCCCCATTGTTAAAATCTTTTTCCCGAGCTCTACCGATGCACATCTTTCTATTATTTGATCGATAATATGATCATCGGGATTATCATATTTACATTTTTTAGTCTGATCTCCCAATTTTAAATGAAATTCTTCAAAATGTTCAGTCTTCTTGTTTAATGAAACGAAAAATATGTCTCTCATAAGTCTTATTTCGTTTATGGAGTAAATAGTTATCGAGCTTTTTTTATAGCCAATTCAAAACTATCTACTTCTTCCTGCACTGCGCTGGTGTCTGACAAGTTTCAAAATATATCCCGGTTCCGCCTAACAATAGTAATGTTGCTCTCTTTTTTATTGGAGATTGTAAATCGGCTGCTTCGAGATGACGTGCTATCTCCATCTAGCTCTAATTTTTCCGGTGACGGTAACAAATTTGACATTGCGGATCGTTAGAAACCCGAAAACAAATGCA